CAAACTTTGTTTTTATGTGTCATCAGTAAATAGTACTTACTGGATCACTGGGTTTCCGTCAAATAAAATTATACAGTTATGGGAAACAACCTCCTTCACCTACCTGGGAAGCATCGTCTCAACTACAGGCGGAACTGACGAGGATATCAAAGCCAGAATCGGAAAGCAAGACAGGCTTTCATTACCTTTAAGTCTGTGTGGAGGTCAACAGCACTCAGCATCAAAAATAACATCCGGATTTTCAACTCCAATGTGAAGTCAGTGCTACTCACTATACAGATCAGAGACTTGGCGCGTCATAAAGAGCATCTCAAACAAACTTCAGACCTTCATTAACAGTTGTCTTCGCTCAATACTCAAGATCAGATGGCTAGAAAAGATCAGCAACAGGGACCTCAATGAGCGAACCAACCAGCAACCGATTGCGAAACAAATAGGCAGGAAGAAACGGAGATGGATTGGCTGGTCATACTCTGAGGAAATCACCAAGTGACATCACTCGACAAGCCATAACTCAAGTGGAACCCGGAAAGGAAGCGGTGAGTTGGTCGTCCAAGGATGACTTGGAGAAGGTCATGCGAGGAGGAGATGAAAGCATGTGAACAGACCTGGAGCGGGGTGAAAAAGTTGGCAGAAAACAGAAGGCAATGGAGACGCGCAGCTGAAGCCCTATGTTCCTCTAGGAATTAAAGGATATAATAATGATAATAATAATAATACTAATAATAGTTGGAACACGTGACTGATTTCGTTCACAAAAATTGTGAAAATTAATGACAATATATCCTCCCTCCCTAGACAGCAGTTATCGTATAAAATGTGGAAAGAAAAATCAAGATCAAAAATGATTTTACAAGTTTATTTATTATGAGTTTTTTGTACGAACTAAAATATTTTACACATCGATAGTTGTTAATTGAACGGATGAATTCAGTTTTAACAAAACTATGGGTTGGTGTTCCATTATGGGTAAATTTTGTTTTGATAGTCTCACAGTGTTATACAGTAATGTTTACTGATGACGTTTCGAGCACAATTTATTGCTCATAATCATATCAAGGTAATCACACGACTTCCTAAATTCATTTATATAGTTCCATTGTTTTTCTCTTGATTTGATTGGTAATAGTATTTTCCATATTTCAGGTATGAGTGACGAGTCATTCCTATTGCATGTGTTTGGTGTAGACTCGATGAACAAGGATTCAGTAATCAACCTCTCTCTCCACCTACCTAGATTACTTTTTAGAATTTTAACCCTCTCCACCCAATTGTGTGGTTGTGTGTTAATGCATGCATTGCAATTGCTGAGCTTTTTTCTAAATTACTTATCTTCTCGGGTAGGGTCAACCATTCTTACTTAGCTAAATTCTTATGCTTTGACAATCTGACTACCCCTGACGGAATTACACTCTACCACAGTGCACAAGTTTTATTCTTATATCAATGATACATATGGGTTGGTGTGCAAAAGAAAAAAATTTGATTCGGACTGCTGAATAATGCCAAAGTGGATTTTACAAGTTGGTTCAAAAGATACTACTTGTCTGCAGAGTATGATTTTAACACTAAGACAACTCATGATCTTAGTGGATTTTTCGATGATGCGTTATTCCGTACTTCAGTTAGAGACTTGTACTTGAACTGAAGAATATTCTCCAGGCTGCATTAGTCAAATCACTTTGAACAAATTTCATTGAAAATATGCATTAGATACTTGCACCTCGGTTATAATCATTTCATATTAGTCGTAGAGTTTCTTCACTGCCAAGTGATCTGAGCATCATCTTAAGTGAGACTTGATGAGTCCCTTGTGGGTAGATTTAATTTTATTAAAGTCTCACAGTGTTACACAGTAATATTTACTGACGACCACGTTTCAAGCACAATTTATTGCTGCTCATAATTAAATCAAGCTATTCACACAACTTTTAACTTCGTTTATATAATTCCATTATTTTTCATCTCTTGACTCGATTGTGAGTAGTATTTCCTATATTTCCGGTAACAGTGATGAGTCATTGATATTGTACATGTTGGATGTAGACTCGATGAACAAGGATTCAGTAATCAACCTCTCTCTCTCTCTCTCCACCTACCTATATTACTTTTTAGAATTTTAACCCTATCCCACCATGCTATTGCGTGTAACTGCATGCAGTGCAATGTAGGGTTGAGTTTTCTTTTCTAAATTACTTATCTTCTCGGGTGGGGTCAACCATTCTTACCTTGGCTAAACTCATGTGTTCTGACAATCTGACTATCCCGACCTACTAGTTTGACCTATGTAGTTGACCTAACTCACAGTCATTGCAGGGTATTTTGTAAATTATATTATTTTGTCTAATTGGGTCCACCGGGTCTTTTAGCCTACAGAGATTATCTCTGAGTGAGTTTGTAGATTTAAATGGCACCCTAATTCCTGCTTTATTTAGAATCTTACGTAGCCTCTCAGATGTCCCCTCCTTATATGGTATAACTTTAGATGACTTATATTCTCTCTTATTTATGTTATCATTACTAGTTTCACAACTATTTTTATTTTGTTTTTGGTCTTTACTGATCTTCCTAATGAATTTTAAAGGATAGTTATTTAACACCAACGCCTCTTCTATCTGTTTCATTTCATCATTTACGTCTTTTTTGTGCTACTGCTCGGTTTGTTAAACACTTAACTAAGCCTGCCTCAACAGTCAACGGATGAGATGAATTAAAGTCTAAGTATCTATTAGAATGAGTTGGTTTTCTGTGCAGTTTACCTTCTTCTATTCGTTTTATTTTACAATCAAACATAGCTGATTCTCCTTGTTCATTTTCGGATTCGAATGTGAATAAGTTAATGTAACTGTACAACACTGTGTGATTTATCAAAATAAAATCTTATCCATATTGGTGTTTTATTAATATTATTTCCGAATGTACTTTATCTTCCATACTACATTGACTAGCAACACTCGTCTTAATTCTCATCGTATTATATTTATTGACAATACTAATAGTGTTTTCCAATGCGCCTTATCTCCTTTTCTGTTAGACGAATGTCTCATATGTTTTTATTCAAATGTCCTGATCACTTTTCACCCATGTATATAAACGAAGTAAGGAAGTTGTGTGAGTATTGCCTTAATATGATTATGAACAGCAATAAATTGTGCTCGAAACGTAGTAGTCAGTAAATATTACTGTATAACACTGTGAGAATTTATCAAAATTAATTTCACCCACAATGGAATTATACTCTACCACAGTGCACAACTTTTACTCTTTCATCAAGGCACTAATTGTTCCAGGAAGTTCAGTATTAAAAATGACTCGTAAATTAGATTATTCCTCTGTAGAGTGTTTACATTGTCGGATTACCAGAGAGTATTTGAAGTCCTTTCAAAACAAAGTATCAGAATGTGCCTGTAAAGAAAAATCCCACTCGGTAGCTGCTACATTAACATAGTGGTCAGGCTTCTTTAGCGCAACGGCCCAAGGAATTACCCTGACTGATGTGCCTGAAAATCCTATCATGCCAGAAAGGTCGTTTAGGTGTAGCCGTTAGACTGAAATCAGTTATCATCATAGTCTGAACTGTTAACACTACTCTGGGGTTTTGTGGGCAAAGGTGCCCCAAGAAGAATGCAACCTTCACGACGTAATCAGTCAGGAAGCACAGTTCACCTACACACTTCTCCACAAGCACATTCAGTAGGGAAAAATCAATTAGTTTGAAACTGGGTCGGATATTTCCGTGACAAACCGGATGATTACTTAACACATAAGTGAAAAATATATAAATCGTTTGATAGATAACTTCTAGACAAGCTTTAACACTCATTTCCATAGAGGAATTTGAAGGTCATATGAACTTTGATCAAGATTTGACCGGATAGTTGCAAAAGAATTGAGCGCCGAGTGAGAAGTAGACATTAATAAAATTATATTTGTAAAATCTCAGCAAAATCGAAATGATTAATTTCAACGTTTCGTTTGGCAATCTGGTTCGAACTTCTTCAGGGAAATTAATCGAAATTAACATAACAGAGGTTTATATATAAAAAGAACATCTCTTGTTTTTTTTAAAACTTTGTTCAATCATGAGCCATGAAACAGGCATCAACATGTATAATCAACAAAAATTGTATGAACTGTGATCAAAACTTGATGTCAGACTTTCAAAATTAGTCTACTTTTGTTAAAATATATGTGTATATGCAGTATACAATGGTGTGTGTGGGTTAACAGTCATAAAACATTTGTTATTCTCTCCATAAGAAAACGTAGACAATCGGGAATTTGACCAAGTGTGACTAGTTGTTGATACATATCCAATTTTATTTATTAGTCAGGATTTACCATGCATCAGCTAACATCACACTTTCACGTCTGTTCAAACTGTTGGGATTCACCGATATATGCAGGGCTTCTGCAGTCAGTCTTTCTTTATATAAACCAAAACCTTTCCTTCTGTAAAACCTTAGTCTTATCAAAGTCGATTTTGTTTCCCGTTTCTATCGAATGCAGTGCAATCGTTGAGTTGTTTTCTAGCTTCTTCAAGTTTGCAGAGGTCTTTGGAACCACCTTTAAACATTGCTTATGCTCTTTCACTATTATATTTACCTGCCTGGAAGTTTCTCCTACACATATACGGCGTTATGAATTTGAAGATCCTTAGAAAATATTTCAATATACTTTTATAGTGTCAAAGCGTAATAGTGTTTAATTACTGGTGATCTTTCAACGGAAAGCCGTGAATAGTGAGTACCAAAATATATCTCTGCAACCTACGAAAAACTGACGCTTCACATTTAGACATTTTGACCTGGATCATCTGCTGGTCACATCAAGGTTAAAACTATAGTCTTACCAACCTAAAAGCGCATAATAGTTCAATGTATTGAAATGTACCGAAATATTTGTCCCATAGATAGAAAAATATTCAAAGTATTATACAGAAATTTTATTCATAAAAATAAATTATCTTAAATGCATAAGTACATACACAGTAATTTGCTTTACACACCACATATATCTGTCATTACAATATCTTGTGTATCCTTTTGTGATGTTAATATATTTCTCATATGTTCAAATCCAGACTCAATGAGATAATGGAATTGTGGATCTTTGGTTAAATCTGCCAATTCATCTGCTGCAAACAATTGATCTGGACTTGGTAGTAAAGAAATTACATTGACACCTATGATTAAGAAAAGAAAAGAGAGCACAACGAGATAATGAATAACTCGTCAATTAAGAAATAAACCTATAAGTAGTCAAGGTTGTATGTAGAGGTAATATACTACTTGTGTTAAACTGATCCTTAGACAGATTGAGTCGTGTGTGTGTGTGTGTGCGGAAGCTCAAGGCGTCAAGACATTTTTCTTATTTCAAAGGACAAAAGTGTGCATCATCAAAGGGAGCATATTGTATCTGTTTAATCCATATAGGAGATTAGTGGTATATTGTCTAGAAACGAAATTGCCCGTCAGTTGTGTCCCGAAACCTTAGTCAGCAGTAAACAAAATTTCACCACTATGTGTTTCATGTCAAACAAATAAAAGATAACAAAAGTTAATCAAGCAAGATTTAATGAATTCATCAAATTCTGGTAGAACTCTTCAACTGAACACTCTACATACAGAAGTATATATCTATACCATTAGAATTACATTGGGATTTATAAGACTGATGCTATTGATTTCCTAGATGTCTCTCTGACGAAAAGGACTGACGACATAATGGAAGGATCTATATTTAGAAAGTCTTCAAGGAAAGGACAGTAGACACATTTTACAAGTTTTGTTCCAATCCAATATAAAATGACTATTATTTAACAGAGCACCAAAAATTTGTTCTGACAGTACAAATGAACATGAAATAAACACTCGGAAGGATAATTTTTGTAGAAATGGATATTCTGCGAAGTTCATCAATCAATGCTTCAAAGGAATGATCCCCAGTAGAATTATCCAAACAGTTACAAAAAACATGTCATTTATAGGAGATGACGAACAAGAAGTATTCAACCGTGGACTCGACAAAGTTATCAAGAGAACTTATTATGCTGCAAAACTCGTCCTGCTTAACATCAACAAGCGGGTACTTCAACAATATTGTAAAGATTGGCCGTCATTCCTCGACACTTCAAACTGCGTGTATCAATTACGGTGTGTTTGTGGTGGGAAATACATAGGTCGTACAGATAGGTGATTTTCTACTAGCATGTGGTGGAGCATTCGTCAGGGTAGTTGAAAACAGCTAAAGTCTAAGTACCTGAAAAGTTCAATAACAAAACATCTTGTGGACTGCAGACATGATAATGATGCTGTCAAGTCATTCACTGTTTCGTCAGTGGACAAAGAAACAGGAAGTTGCTTGCAATAGGCGGAGGCTTGTGCAATTAGAGTTTATAAACCAGGTCTCTGTGTACAACAGAAGGAAATGATGGTCACTGTGAATCTTCCACGGAAATATATTTCACTAATTAACTGTTATTAATTTTACTGTTTTATTGTAACTCTTATTATGATTATTTCACTTATAACTATGTTTTATCATTACCATTATATTGAGCTCTTTAGAAGATTATTACCATTGATTGTTATTATTGTTACTATTATTATTAGCATTACCACAATTATCAACATTATTTAGTTCGAAATATTCTTGATATCTTATCAGTCTTATATGTCCCAATGTAATTCTAAGGGCATATATTCCCCTGTATGTAAAGTATTCAGCTGATGAATTCATTATATCCTACTTTATTAACTCTTGTTGCTTGTTCTAAATTCGTATCGGGAAATAAATGCATCGAAAAAGAAAAATAGAACGGAATTAAATCCTACCCAAGAAATGTTGCACTGAATCACACGCGTAGCCTGTGGACTACTCTGATAATCTCCAATTTTATTGGCAGTTTTAAGTCAAACATAAATGACTAATTCAAGTATTGGTTTGTAGGGATTTGGTTGATTGGTTACAGGATTTCATCATGAGCTGACATCAGTTAGAGAACCATTGGAAAACCAGGGAATACTGGACAGCTGTTTCGTACAAGTTTGGGACTCTTCATCAGTACGCATCCACACCACGGGGGTCGAACCCAGGATCACCTTCTGGTTACAAGGTGAGCTCATATACCATTAAGCCACTGGGACCCGATCCAATGGCCCATGAATTCTAACTTCTGCCAATTCACGATATAGCGCAACCGCTAGCCAATATCTTCGGCGAGTATTTGTCCTCCTCATGATGAAATCTTGTAACCAGTGAACCAAATCCCTACAAACCAATACTTGAATACCAATGAGATGCTCGAGGACGACTTGTCCTATTCAGGTAGGTAGTTACCTGGGGTTCCAGTGGGAAGTGGTGACCAGTAGGGTGCAGCAGGTCGGGTGTGAGGACAAATACTCGCCGAAGGCATTGACTAGCGGTTGCGCTATATCGTGAATTGGCAGAAGTTAGAATTCATGGGCCATTGGATCGGGTCCCAGTGGCTTAATGGTATATGAGCTCACCTTGTAACCAGAAGGTGATCCTGGGTTCGACCCCCGTGGTGTGGGATGCGTACTGATGAAGAGTCCCAAACTTGTACGAAACAGCTGCCCAGTACTCCCAGGTTTTCCAATGGTTTTCTAACTGATGTCAGCTCATGATGAAATCCTGTAACCAATAAATGACTAAGTTGTCGACGCATAGAACTAGTCCAAGGATCTGCAATTCTTATGTGAAGACTGTTTATACTTTTCACTGTTCAGATGTAGAGTTTAAGGTATCTCACTGAACACAGCGGAGACCTAGCTAATTGACTTAAAACACTCACTTGTCATCCAGTACTGCATAATTCACCTAATTCATCAGCCGAGCACAACTGGGTAGCATCAACAGCTTTCACATAATATAGATGTGAGTTATCGACAAGTGTATTGAAAAGTGGAATTGTTGATTTCAGATCAAGTAAATCAGGACTTAGAAAGAAAATAGCCAATTATCATAGGAGAAATGATGAAATACGAAGAAATAGAACGGATGCAAGAGCACAGTTAAGCAAAGAAAAATCAGAATGTTATGCTTATGAAACCATTAAAAAGAAAAAAAAACATGCACATTGGTTGACACTATTATAAATTTGATTTAGGCAAGATTTTGATTGGACACTAGTAACTAGTGTGACGTGTCTAGTCCTTACTTTGGTGCAGACTGTACTCTATCAGTCAGGTTTTTGTTTGCAATGTGGCCATTATTCTAGGTAGCTCGCCATCACAGTGCACATTGATTTGATGATATTAGACAGTTGGAGGTAATCGGTCAAAGGAAGACTTAGGCAAGGTTTCATAAATGTTGACTCTATGTAAGATATAGTCATATGGTTGGATAGTAGGGAACTAGAGGTTAATAGTAAATGAGCGGTGTTTTTTCTTCTACGATTTACTTGAAAATGTAGACGTAGATAATTTCTCAATAGTATCTTTATTTTACAACGAAAGAAGTAAAAGGTAATTCACCTCATCCGTTAACTGTCTATGAAGGCCTAGTAGTTAAGTGTCTAACAAACCGAGCAGTAGCACTAAGTAGCACAAAAAAGACCTAAATGATGAAATGAAACAGATAGAAGAAGCGTTGGTATCAAATAACCATCCTATAAAATTCATTAAGAAGATCAGAAAGGGTAAAAAGCAAAATAAAAATAATTGTGAAACTAGTAATGATAACATGAATTAGAGAGAATATAAGGCATCCACTGTTATACCATATAAGGAGAAGACATCTCAGGCCCTACGAAGGATTCTGAATAAAGCAGGATTCAGAGTGGCATTCAAACGTACAAACTCCCTCAGAGATAATCTCTGTAGACTAAAAGACCCGGTGGACCCAATTAGACAAAATAATATAATTTACAAAATACCCTGCAATGACTGTGAGTTAGGTCAACTACATAGGTCAAACTAGTAGGTCGGGATAGTCAGATTGTCAGAACACATGAGTTTAGCCAAGGTTAGAATGGTTGACCCCACCCGAGAAGATAAGTAATTTAGAAAAGAAAACTCAACCCTACATTGCACTGCATGCAGTTACACGCAATAGCATGGTGGGATAGGGTTAAAATTCTAAAAAGTAATATAGGTGGATGGAGAGAGAGAGAGGTTGATTACTGAATCCTTGTTCATCGAGTCTACATTCAACACATGCAATAGGAATGACTCAATGCAAATACCAGAAATATGGAAGATATTATTACCGCCGGTCAAATCAGAAGAGGATAGTAAATAATCTTAAAATTCTATTTCAATTCAAACACATCACAACATTCTAACAAGTTACTTATTATGATTATAAAAACACTCGTCTTATTTCCTCTCTGGTTGTAATTGATCAATAACACTCATATTATTATTATTTCTGAATGTACATTATCTCATATTGAATTTTATTCCAATATCTAATCGATTCCACACATGTATATAAATGAAGGAAAAAGTTGTGTGAGTAGCTTGATATGATTATGAGCAATAATTTATGCTCGAAACGTCATCAATTAATATTATTGTGTAACGCTGTGTGACTTATCAAAATAAAATCTTATCCATAATGGAGTTATAGTCTACCACAGTGCCCAAGTTTCACACATATATCAATAAAAGGTAATCAGACTATGTTTAATTCATTTTACTCCAAAGGGTATGAGTGATTGATTAAATTCGTACAAAAGTACCCTACATGATCATCCATTCATGATAATTAAAAACAGTAACCGTAAACGAAGGGAATAAGAGTATAACGAAGCTACAGTGGACAAACAAAAGTGTTTGTGCGTGTGTGTGTGAGAGAGAGAGAGAATAATTTCAGAATATGAAAGATGACAAGGACTGAGTACATTTCTGATATTGTGAACAATCCCCAACCACTGCACTGTTTCTCAACCTGTCAAGGACTGGAACCAGACAGCCAGGTTACACCTCTTTCTCTATGTGGCTCAGATCAACAGTAAATGACTCTATGGATTGGTATCATGTTTTATTCTAATTACCTTGAACTGTTTTCAATTCCTAGAATACACTGTTTTATTATTCACTTGGTTTCAATGAAATTTTCATGATTATGAGGTCAACTTTGGTGTGTGTTTTTTGAGAAGGATACCGCGAAACAGACAGTTTCCCATTCTGCCAGTTGTCACGATGAATTTATAGAAAGTGGATATGCGAATTAGATTTCGATAGAATCACTTTAAGGAAAAGCTATTCTGATTATCATAGAGATAAATTATTAGTTAATATTAAATAATTCAATGCTATTCAGCGACCTGGTGCTTCATTTATGTAGTAGGTTGAAAGACATATATAATTATACGATAGAACCTAGTTACTTAGAAAAAATGTTGGTTAGGTGACGAGTTCACAGTATTAATATTCACAACACTACTAGTTCCCAAGAAATATTAATAGGAAGAGAAATGAAAAGGTAAATAATTATCAACACGAAGGTTGACAAAAGCTAACATGAATATTAATAATTACGACAATTTTGTGACACATTGTTATTTGGTTGATGGTGACTAGTAGTGGAATCTAGGAGACACACTTCGTCCCATTCGAGACTCCTTATCTGAATGTATCTTCATCTCAAAGTTAGTGAGATGTTCTCACTGAGACTGAAACTCAGCACCTATTGTTTTAAACCCAGAATCGTTATCCACTGGACTGCAAGAAACACCTCTCGTATTCATGTTATTCCTCAAATATATACAAAGCGTCCATATCAGGAGTTGATATGTTAAAGTAGATTCAGCATTGTGATCCAATGTGCGTTGGTGGTTCAGTGGTAGAATAGTCACACCAGCCACACACAAGGTCCTGGGTTCAATCCTCGGCTGACGCACTCTTGAACCTCGCTAAGTGGTTAATCAGACCACTAAAGAGAGAAGGTTTGGCATCAGGTTAACAACCACTTCCACCCCCTCCGTAAAAGTGGAACCAGTGCTACCAAGACTTCAAAGCTGTGGCTTGAAGCTCTATGTCCAACTGGGAACGTAAAGGAATAAAAACATTTCGGCGCAATGCAATCAATCAAATGAATTTAAAGCAGATATTACAACATACCATTTTTGAAAAGATCAGATACAAGTGCACATATGAAACTTCGTGTACAAATTTCAATAGGATCATGTACATCACCAGAAGTAGACCATCTGTAAGAAATTAAATTATATTATATACTAAGTAAGTATTATATAAACTGAAGGTTTTCACTTATGATAAGTTTATTTCATAGCAACATTAGAAATATGCAAACAACAAAAGTCAGTGATTAGTTTTACTTAGAAATTCATAAATACGAGTGATTGCACACTGATAAAGAGGACAGGACAACTTCCTCTAGTATTTTGAGTCTGGATCTTAGTTAGAAGTTTACAGTAGTCAAGATACTAGTTGAATTTTCCAAATGTTGAAGCAGAAATTGTCAAACTGGGGGAGGCGGGGGAGTAAATAATTACAAACAAATCTCGACTTTAGTTCCTCTCATGTAAAACCTATATTTCACCAAATTCATATGTATCGTGAAACCTAGCTAAGGGAATATTAGCTGATATAGGATCAGGTTGGAAAAGAGCCAGCGGTGGTCAAAACATAACATGAATTCATAAGCCAATGAAACCCACAATAGTTAGTTTAAGCCAACCACGTCAGGAGGTGTAGGCTTCCTGTTTGGAATCCTCGAGATGGTAGAAACCGATGGCTGCAGACGATCCATGATATGGCTCAAAATCGTTCTCAGTGACACAGATGCATTAACTCTTTGGGATTTACAATACCCGACAAAGCTCTATTGTTCTTCCATATTACTATTCTGTTTGCCTCGTATTTCTGTTTAATATCTCTCTGTTGAATCTTTCTCTACTCTCTTCTCTTGCTTTATGTGCTACAAGAAGGGAGTGTGGCAACTCGAACTGCTGCACTTCTGTGCACAGTTCTACGTTGAAACCAGTCATTCAGAGGAAATATATTCGCTCATGTAAATATATACACTTCGGAAACACCAGTTATTGAAGCATTTCTAATTAGTATAGTGGTTGTTTCTACTCAAATAAGAAATAATTTTTTACAAACCATTTCATATCTATAAACTTTAAGATTATACAATTCAGCAATACTGATTCCCTTCAGAGTCAACTATTTGAGTAATATTATTTATTGTTCCCTTGGGTTCCAACTAGTACAAAGAGCTTTAACAACACATTTCCCCTCTGTCCTATTCGCTGCAGTCCTATTAGATTGGTCCTACAATTACCTGTAGTCTCTGATGATCTCCTCCATGTCCCCCTCGGACACATACCCAATTTCTCATTCAGGTTCCACTTGATAGTCTGGCGTGCGATGTCATCTGACAGTCTCCTCAGAGTCTTTCTGATCCATTTCCATTTTCTCTTATATATTTATAGAGAAATAGGTTTTTGGTTAATTCTTTCCCAGAGTTACTTTGCCAATTCTTTCGTGCCATTTGTTCTTACCTATTGAGCCAGCGAAGACAGATGCTGTTAACAGTCTACAACCTGTTCGAAATACTTTCGTGACACGGTGGTCAAATTTTTGATCCATATAGAAGAACCGACTTAACATTGGTGTTGAAAATCCGAATCTTGTTCTCTATTCTGAGTGCAGAAGGTCTTCAGATTGACGTAGATGTATCTTGCTATACCGATTCTGGTCAGCTTTGACATCTTTATCCGTTCCACGATTGATTGAAAAGTTGCTTCCTAGATAAGTGAAGGCAGAAATTAACCTCTGTCAAATCTCTACCGTTGATTGGTGATTGGTTCTGGTTGTTTTTGTTGTTGTTGCTGTTACTGTTGGTTGGTTATCTTCCTCACTTTCATCTTCACTGTGCCCACCTGGATTTCTGCTTTCACTGCTGGCCTCTTCAACTAGTTTGTTGCTTTTCGTCTGTAAGTCTTCAAGTTTGTGTGACATGAAACACAAATCATCCACGCGCAAAATCTAGATCTTCTAGGGTCTTCTTATCGGTGGTTCAGTGTATTCTTGCCTCCTCGCTCCCATGCACAGTTTGACGTATAATCCAGTCTACCACAATTAGTAATATCATTGGTGATAAGAGGCATCCAGCCTTGTCTTACTCCAGTATTCACTTCAAACACCTCACTGAGTTTGACGTTGTGGATCCCCTGAGACGTAGCATTATCATAGAGCTGGGTAGATAAAGGATTCTTTACGAGTCTTCCAATGTCAACAGTATCAATACCTTTCAAGTGTTACTTTATAGTGAGTTGATTGCTTTCAAGTTTGATCATGGATTGGTTTTAGTTAGAGGAGTATCGGAAGTCAACAGCTGTTTCGGCCTAATTTTAGAGTCTCCACCAGTATGCACACCTATGACTTCCCTGTGGGATCAACTCCAAGAGCTACAAGTTAGGATGCAGGCTGATTTAACATTCAGCCAATGGAACAGAATCAATAAATATACATCTAGAACTTACTCATCCATTCGAATTGCTTGACACCAAATATGTAATAACAATTCATCTCGTGCTTCTATAGGATCATGACAATCATCGTTTGGTCTTAAATCTGACACAATCTGTAAGATATCAATTAGAATAAACGCTCGACGAAAATGCATAATCATTTCAGAGAGTAAATGTTTATCATTGGACTGATTATCATTGTCACCATCATCATCATCTTCACGATCACCATTGTTATCATTGTGGTTACTACTACTACCACTACTACCACCAGTTTTCATGGTTTCATTTAAACAGGCTGCATTATTCACATATAAACGAACTAATACTGGTATAGAGAGAACACGTTTAAAACGTGGATCTGAATCAGACGATGTATTGTCAAAAATTGACTCTGATTTAACATGATTTTGATCAAGCAATTCCTAAAAGGAAAATTTTTAGAAAGAAAACAAAAAATGAATATTGTCGAGATACAGGGGAGAGTGTACAATGTTGTAGATTAATAGTTAACGTATTAGTAAATTTAAACATTCACCTTTGAGTTGCATTTTTCTTTTACACGATTTTGCGACATTGAAGGTTTCAACCAAGACACCTTAAACGAGATGTAGGCCAACTTACATCATCTCTGGAGTAGACGAGATATCTGACTATCTACCAAATTGCAAGCAGCTCTCGCTATCCTTCTCTATTGCTGTGAGAAGTGAGCATTACAAGTGGAAGATATGAAAAAGGTTAGTTGTATGTGAGCACAGATGTCGCTGTCCTTCCGTTTTAACAGTGGTATTATATGATGAGTAATATTGACCGATAGGCGTAAAGTGTTAGGTAAGGAGTGGGTAAGTCAGTCGATGACGTTGTCAAGCTACATCGACTGAGATAACTGAGAAAGGTGTTTCGCACGTGTCACGCCAACGCTATCCTCCGTTGACAATATTAGCTGACATAGGATTAGGTTGAAAAAGTGTCAGTGGTTATCAAGCCAAAATTTGGAATCAGTTCATAAACTAATTGACAGTTAGTTTAGGCCAGCCAGGTACACAGGTGTAGACTTCCACCAAATGCTAAGGATCAATCAATGGTTGGCGACTGTTGTTGATATGACTCAAAATCATTCACAACAGCACAGAAATATTCACTCTTTGTGATCACGAATATCCATCCATACATTATGGCTCTTGCGACTCCATGTTTTCCCTACTTTTGTGTGCTTCACATGCAGTGAGCGCGACGTGAATGGATGCACTTCTGTGCAAAGTTTTACGTGAAATATTAGTCAATCACGAGTAGGCTAATTCTAAGCGACTTGATAACTAGAGAAGCATTGCAAAATATGGGAGAATCAGACCACCGTTTCGCCTTGGTCTGGGACTCCTCAGTAGTACACACCCATTGGGGTTCAAACCCAGGACCTCTTGGCTAGAAGGCGAGAACCGAGAACCAACCAAATCATCCATGAATTGCAACTTGGGCCAATTCCACCAAGTCAGGTAAGAGAACAGTTACTCGTCTACCAAGTTGGCTGGCGGTTGGAGAATATATATCGCGAATAGAAGAAGGTTGGAATTCACAGGATAATTAATGGATCTGATCCCAATGGCTGAATGGTTTGCGAACTCGCCTTGTAGTCGGAAGATCCTCAGTTCAAACTTCAGTGGGCACTTAGCATTGAAGAGTCCCAAACTAGGATAAAACAGTTTTATAGTTGTCAATGTCTTTCTTTTTGTCTGCAACCGTATACACACAGTTAACGAGTAATATACCTTAAAAGGAAACATTCCACTTACTTGAAGTGATATCCACTTTAGATAACCATCAATTTTTGAAATCAATGGACATCTTTGATTGTCTTGTTCATAATCCTTTTGTAGTTCCATTCTGTCGTAAGATTGATTAATAAGTTGATTCTTATTGAACATTGATTTTGATTGATTTTTCACTGAATTTAATTGATCTGATGTTAAATATATAATCTTAGCTAGAATGAATAAATTTTTACGACGTCCTAAAATTGAAATTCTTCACACGCTTCTTCATATAAAACAGTTGCAGCCTATAAGAAGACAAAAAACAAACTAAAAGACTTTAAGTGTAAATAAGTATGACATACGTGAAATTCGAAAGTATAAATACTATTGGTAACTCGATTCAGTATGTTATTATTCGAGTTTCATTTGACAAGTACTGTTCACAGATGTTGGAGTAATCTTCACACACTATACTAATCGGGCTTACATATCACGATAATCAAGCGAAATGCAATAGGTAGACACACACATATTGTTTGTCAAGACCTAATTATGGTGGAAAGGTTATAAGTAGCTAAGGTTATAACTGTGCACAGCTAACACACTATGGTAACGGCTTGCGAGTAGAATTGTACGGCTAATGAGAAGGATTCAACACCAGATAGGTGTTCCACTAAGATAGTAGTGAGTTCTACACATTATTTAATCACAGCCGTGAATGGTACAGTGACAGTGACACCTAACACCCAACACTTACAGCAGTTGAGACAACTGTCAATTAACTGTAAACCGGTAGGGGGAGGGGAAGACAGTAGAGCTTGATGGAGTATTCCTACAGATATACAAGAGTGTGGAGCAATTTTTCTTAGTTGCGTGCTAATTATTTTACCAGTATCTTTGGTACTTTTGCTGTTTTTTTTGGACAAAGTGGAGAGTGATTTCCAATAAGTGATGTCATTTTAAGACATCGTCGGTGGCACAATGTTTAGGACTATCGCCGACCATGCACACGGTCCGAGGTTCGATCCCCTGCCGACGCACACCTGATATCTATGGTCGGCCTGCAAAATTTCGGCTACCGATATCCATGCCGAAAAGTTCATACTTGTACCGAAAGTACAGTGTGGAATCAAGCTGTAATCAAAAATAAATAAAATAAAAATATATATCACGTATGTCGTTCCAGCGGCCTCTACACTGTTTACCACTTTCTACCACTAGATCTATTTAGAAATAACGACCACTTCATGATGTAGATGTGTAGGATGAAGGAGTAATTGTGTCGCGTTAGCATCTGTTATTGTGTGGAGTGAAGTGTAGAAGATTAACCGATTTATTGACCTTAGACGTTATCAGATAAGACTTAGTACCGATCATAAGAAATGTAATGTTTGACTAAATACATCATAAATTTGTGTTATGTACTCGTCGAGTAGTTAATATTCCTGACGCGGAAAGAGGGAAATAAGAAGACCACCAGGTTTACGATGATACTTGTACTTTCCAAACAAGGGAAATAATTGTCACACAAGAGTGTGAGTGAATAAGTACGAAATGTACGGACAAGTATGAACAAGAATCCAGTACAAAAGTATATATGAAAATGACTAATACACATGAACCAATAAATAACCAGTCTTAACATGATTGGTTGTAATGTCATGTGACAACAAGGTCATACATTGTTTATTTAGTTAGTGGACGGACAAAAGGCATATTGTCAGTTATAACGGAATATCGATCCATTTACACACAGCAAAATATAATAGACTGTCAAAAACAAACACACATCATGTGGATACGTATCAATTTTGATATGTATCCATATATATATATTCATATAATATGTGTGTTTGTTGACATGTCTGCTATATTTGACTATGTATATATGGATCGATACTCCATTATAATTAGCCATTCATGTTAAGACTGTCTATTGATTTGTTCACACACTTGTCTGGACATTCATATATATTTCGCTCTCACAATTTGTGTGACTCACTTACTTTTGGTGTGATCCACTTATTGCTTCTCCTTGTGTTTGGAAAATAGAAGTATCATCACAAACCTAGTGGTCTTCTGATTTCCGTCTTTCTTGCGTCAGGACTATTAAATTCTCGACCAGTACTTAATAATAATTTGGCGACGAGTACATAACAAATTTGATCTCAGTAAATTTCGATGATAGCGCATATGCAATCTCGAGAGAATCTATTTCTAGTTTGACATTTCAATATGATACACCTTTTAGTGGTGAAATCAAAGAATTGATTAGCCTGGTAATAAATTCTTGAACTTCAAAATTGATTAGTGCCATTTCAAATTTTTTTTTGATGACAGCTTGATTCCACACTGTACTTTCGGTACAAGTATGAACTTTTCAGCATGTGATATCGGTAGCCGAAATTTTGCAGGCCGGCCATAGATATCAGGTGTGCGTCGGCAGAAAGTCGAACCCCGGACCATGTGCATGGTCGGCTAGAGTCATAACCAATGTGCCACCGACGCACATAAGCATAAAAGTTTTCGACGTATACCCATACCCTTCATTGATAAGTAGTACAATCTGTCCTAAGTATATATTGAGCACTGATTTCTACTGAACTTAACTTCCAGCCGCATTAGTCAACTACCAATCTTTCTAATGATAAGGCATAAAACACAATGAATCATTCCTTAGAGCTTCAAACAGAACACCTGTAAAAATTATCCCCTGAAATGATTGAAGAAATATGATTGACTTCTTTTCCATCTTGCCTTAGTCTTTCTCAAGTAGTTGCAACTTTCAAGTTTCTGTAGTCATGGGGTTAACTTTTTCTGGAGATGCATAGCTAGATAGTCCTACGCCTAACTTTTCCTCTTTCTCCAAATTTAGGGCCGGTTAGTAAACTATTCAGGTAGGTCGTTACCTGGGGTTCTAGTGGGATGTCGTGACCAGGAGGGTGCAGAAGGTCGGGTGTGAGGACAAATACTCGCCAAAGACACTGGCTAGCGGTCGCGTGAATTGGCAGAAGTTCGAATTCATGCACTGGCCATTGGATCGATTCAGGTGTCAGTGGCTTAATGGTCTACGAGCTGGCTCGCATTGTAACCAGAAGATCCTGGGGTTCGAACCACGGCGGTGGGTGCGTACTGATGAAGAGTCACAAACAAGGCTGACAAAACAGCTGTCCAGTACTCCCAGCTGGTTTTCCAACTATTCTATAACTGATGTCAGCTCATGATGAAATCCTGTAACCAATCAATCAATCAATCAATCAAATACCTACAAACCAATAATTGGAAAACTAGGAAGTTACGTGGAAGTGATCATGTGAAGAGGAAGTGAGAGCACGTGGGGAATTACGGAGTCAACTTAAAAAGACAGCAAAGAACACAGTGAAATGCAGATACGGTTCTCAATCCTATGTCCCACTAAAAATGCAAACGATGAATAGTAATAATAATAATAATAATAACAGTTGCAACTAAAGGGCCACAAATGAAATTTCAACCACCGAGTATTTACAGCGTTTCCTATCTATCAATGAAGAGATTTAATATAAATTAAGAATTACAGTTATAAGGAGTATTTCACTGAAACAATTTTGGTCTACATTGATTGGTCACTCAGGAGTGACCAATGCCATCTATCTAGTCCTCGGTGTTGACGCTAACTTATTTTTTATTTTATTCCTTAGTGTTCTCATTGAAACATAGAGCTTCAAGCTAGAACTTTTAAGTTTCAATAGCAGTGCTGATTTTTCACAGGATGGGGGTGCTAGCCTCACGCCCAGCCCTCCATTTTACCGAGCTTACCACCGGCCGACTAGGTGAGGTAAAGGGGTGTGTCGGCCGAGAATCGAATCCCGGACCACTTGAGTGGTTGGCCGGTGTTTTAACACTGAACCATCGACGCTGTTGACGCTAACTGAATTCTACCAATTAAGTTTAAAATGTGTTCACCAAGGTAGGTGCCTCACGATTGCAAAACACTTCAAATTCACGTTAGATTGATGGAAGCAGTCAGTAGGAAACTTTGTATATAGATTTCGTACTTTTTGTCACTCATCAGTAAGACGTAACTACAAACTGGAAAGACCTTATATCCCCTAGAAGTTTTGAACCCGCGTCACTCAATGCTACAGTTGGAGATTTAAGCGTCGTAAGCCTAAGTAGCTTAGTAATAACATCTCTGAGTGCAGCATCAGTTGAATCCCCGTGGGGATCTCGGTGCCTTTAAACTCGCAGCTACGCCCTGCTACCGAATGACTACAAGTATGAAATCAAGATCTAGTGATTCATTACGATTGCTTGTAAACATCTTTTCGAGAAATGAATGTTCTTCAATGGCAAATGAGAAAGAAATAAGCGAAAAAAGAAACCAAATGGAAATGTTAAAACATGGACACATACCTTTTCGAATTGTCCAGTAGACATTAAATGAGGCCAGGCATGAATTTGTACATCTTTACGATGTAGAAATTTTTCAACTGGATCATCGCATTCAATACGCTGATAACTGATAGGATCAACTTTATGTTGCATAGACTGGTTGATTTTACTAGTTACTCCTAGCATAGAATTATTTATACTTGTGTCTACAATTGAATGAGGTTGATTCAAATCATGGTGTGTATTTTTCATCACTGAAATATTTAATGGTTTCTTATCATTGATGATTGATGTATTATTAATTACTTGGTGTGAAATCATCATGTCACTGTTATTGCTACTACTAATATTACTAGGATTAAGATTAGTAGTATCGTGTACTTCTGTGGCATTTAATACAGCGTTAGAACGATGTAGCAGAGCAAGAAGCGATTGAACTCGTGAACGTTCACCATTTGACAGGAACCACTGAAATGAAAACAATTTTTTTTTAAAAGCAACTGTTTAGCACAATAAATGTTATGATAGCTAGAAAAAAAAGATTTTTTAAATTTTCTTTATTTTTGATTACAGCTTGATTCCACACTGTACTTTCGGTACAAGTATGGAATTTTCAGCATGTGATATCGGTAGCCCAAATTTTGCAGGCCGACCATAGATATCAGGTGTGCGTCGGCAGGGAGTCGAACCCCGGACCATGTGCATGGTCGGCGAGAGTCCTAACCGCTGTGCCACCGACGCAACTCATAGACTGGCCATTGAGTTGAGTACCAGTGGCTGAATTGTCCACGAGCTTGCCTTGTAACCGGAAGGCCTTGGGTTGAAACCCCTGTGGTGGGTGCATACTGTTGAAGAGCCCTAAACTAGGAAGAAAACAGTTGTCCAGTACTCCCTGGTTTTCGATAGTTCTCTAACTGATATCAACTCATGATCGGAATTGAAACAAATCTAATCTCCACGAACTAACTTTTGAAAAGAAAATAAACTTACAAATCCCTAGAATGACAATAATGTAAATAGTAAACATCTTCGTTTAGACATTTAGAAGACAACATATCGAGCGAAGAAATATTTACTTCCCAAATAAATTCTCACCAATAATTCTACTTTACTATAAATATATAGCTATTTTAATACATCAGGCGTACAATCAAATAGGCTTATCGTTAGATTTCCAAACATTATCCTGAATGTTTAAGAAAGATGCGAACATAGTCTATTCGTAGCTCTATTATATCCCACCTGATGGATACTCATCACACATCCGGTGTTAAAAAAGAATCTATTAGATCTATTTATTGAATCCCAATCTTGCTTAGCGTGTTTATCTGCTGCCATACAACAGAAGCCATAGGAATATATAGAGATACTTTCGTCACACTGGCCATCTTTGCAGAAGTAATAAAAACTGGCAATTCTTCCCTTCCCTAATTGCTATTTACAAATTACTATCATTTTAATAATCTAACTATCCTGCCTACTTCATGTTTAATTTTTTTCCTTCACGTTCTCCACTGGAACATAGGGCTTCAAGCTAGTGGCTTGAAGTTTCTGTGGCAGTGTCTATTTTACAGGATGGGGTTTTTGGCCTCATGCCCAACGTCTCTTCTTTACCAGCATTATTTCTGATTTAGCGAGGTAAAGGAGTGCGTCGGTGGCCGGGGACCAAACCCCGGACCATGTGCATGGTCGGCGAGCGTCCTAACCGCTATGTCACCGACGCACATCTTTAATGATTCTCATATATTCATCATTTATTAAGACACAACCTTAGTACATTATAGGCCAGCAAGACAAGCGTCACACGGAATCTCATAGTTTGTGTGATGGTTTAGATACTGCCCGGATGCCCAGACCGAAGCAGGAATGTTTCTCATTTATTTGACCACTCATTTATACGCCTTACTTCTCAAAATTAGAAATTATGTAACCAGAAACACTCTTCAATTGTTGCAGTACTTTTCTCGGTGAATTATCATTCGCTTAACATGTTGAAGTTAACAGACTCACCACTGTTAGATTAGTAAATTTTTCTATTGTACTAAAATTGCCATAAATTTCTGTTTGTATTAGAGGAGAGCCATTGACGAGGGTATTTAGTTGAAAAGTAAACTGTTTTCCTCGTTTAATTGGTTGTTATTGAAGAAACAAATACACTACCAATGATTATATTGTAACACAAAAACTCTTTACATTTGATTATTAGAAAGGAAACAGATAAACAAGAACATTCTCTCAACAGGATAAAAAAACACAAATTTGGATAGCATTATTAGAAAGGCTGTTTTGATATTAATCCTATGATTCACGTCAGTTAAGTGTTTTTGCTATAGACAGAGTTGGTAGTCGTCTGTTACCTGCGTTTATTTAGGTTTCATAATTCACTTGTTTTTCTGACCATTAGGGTATATGTTCTCTCATCCACACCCGCAAGGTGCGAGATTACTCCTCCCTATGTATCGGCGGCCACACACACACACACACCCATGTAAGTCGGTATATAGTATAGGATGTAACATAATCACTTGTGCAGTGTTGAGAATTGCTGTAGAGCATATTTTCGGCTGGGTTGGATAGTGAAGTTGTATGGATGATACACTTTAGTCTGTGTCCTAAAATCTTACTATTTATTTATCATTTGTAAGGTGATGTCATATAAACATCTTTTTCTGGGACGGAGTACACTTTAGGCCTATGAAACTAGCTGACCTTTACACCGGTTTAAAGATTTTAAAGGATACCCATTTTTCACCTGTACATTCGTCAATATTTGATCCTCCTCCTCCTCGTCCTCATCTATAGGATAAGCTGTATAAATACATTGTATCCTCTTGAATAAGCACCTAACCAAGCTCCGTTTATATTGTAATGAACAGAAACTGTGATAATTTAAATATTTATATAAAAACAATGAGTAATAATAATAATAATAACAAAATTTTGTAACTTCTTACTTCACAGTTTAAATTATAATCAACTGACCAAACATCCAGTTGATTTTTATACAACGCAAAACAGAAGCATTTCTCACAATCGTTTGACGACATACACGTGATTAAACGTAGAAACACCTACGAATGAAACGAATGAAAACACAAATAAATACACACACACACAGGACCTTTAAGTGCAAGATGAAGAATATTTATTAGGTTTACAAATACGACTGGTAAGTCTAACTGATATGATTTTATTTTTTTTCCCTTTACGTTCCCAGTGGAACATAGGGCTTCAAGATTCACCTTTGAAGTTTCGGTAGCAGTGGTTCAATTTTTACCGCGTGGGGTTGTTAGTTTTATGCCCAACCCTTCCCTTTTATAGGCCTTACCACCAGCTTGGAGAGGTTTAGGTGTGTGTGTCAACCAGGAATCGAACCATGTGAGTGGTTGGCGAGCGTTCTAACGCCGAACCACCGACGCACATAATTCCGTATTAGTAAGTTTATTCGATATCGCATAGTGATACAGTACTGATAACTCGATGACGTTTTAGGTACAACCTGTTGCTCATAATCGTGTGGGTGTGCGTAATTACGCCACTAGACAGGATAGGGTTACAGTAATGATAAGGTAGGTGGATAGGGAGAGAGGGATTAATCACTGGGTCTTTATCCATTGAGTCAATACCAAATATATGCAATAGGAATGATGCAACATGTAAACCGAATGTAGTAAAGATTGCGATATAAAAACGAAGGAGGCGGGGGGCTATACACGGCGAGTTAGAAAGTCGTATGAATACACTGATATGATTATGAGCAATAATTTGTGCTCGAAACTGCATCCAGTTATTATGCTATATATAAAATAAACTTAATATCAAATCATATTCTACCACAGTGTCTAAATTCTACTCTTGAGTTATTGCCATCACAGTAAAAGGATATTACCATCAAGTGGGAAATATACATCACTGGAAATGAAACAAAATGAGATACACTTTAATAATATGCCCATGACCATATGACAGTCGTTCGGTTAATTATGATCGACTTCAGTCATTAAAGGTTCATTAGAAACTTTTAAAGAGGAGGTTTTAACCATTATACATCTACGCCACCCAGTAGAAGTCATGTGTGTGTACCTCTGAAGACTGCCGAACTAGCATGAAACAGCAGCTGTTCAGTACTCTCTGGTTGCCAATGGTTCTCTAACTGATACTAATTCGTGATAAAAATTCAGACATCTACTATGCCGTATGGACAATTTACGTTTGTGTATTATGCCCACTACCTAATTTCTTTGGTTAATATCGAAAAATCTCAAATTAATGAAAAAAGATGTACTAAAAAAACAACTTACAAAGTTTTCACCACCACGAGCTGGCATCGATTTAATTAATCCAGAATTTGTGGTTGAAGAAACTAAGTTGAAGAAATTCGACACACGGCGGCCTAAACCAGATAATATTCCTTTTGAATGCATACAACCATCATTAGTACTCGTAATCAAATGAGTCTTTACGCCATCCTGTTAAAAAGTGTGATTAAATTATCGTGTCTTGAGAACAGGTTAAAAAATTGTGGAGCTATTGATAAATATATACTTGCAGAGGATTAAACATAAAATGAGGCCCGTTAACTAGCGCACGAACCAAGATGCAATTATCCAACTATTTACACTTCATATTTTAATAGAGGCACCGTTCTACAAGAACACTGAGTAGACTTTCTTCGGGGACCTTAAGTGGAATATTAAAACTTGCAAACTGCGTATTTTACCTTTTTTCATGATACTATGTGATTAAATATTTCCTTATTTATTTCCCTTTTGAGAAACACTAAAGTGTATGATGTTTACTGCAGTAACTCTGATTTCTTTTAACTTCATATCAGTTTAGTTTACAATACTCAAACAGACATATAGATTTAGAAACATCTATTGTGTTAAGGCCAATGATACTACTTTGCTAACCAAACTTCAGCCGATGAAGCAGGACCCACACTGGTAACCCATTAGTTGAAAGTTGAGTGTTTGAGTTAGTGAGGTACAACACAAGACTGTCACACAAGGAACTGGGAAACAAAAGCTGAAAATGGAATAAAGTTAAGGAAACCTACACTTTGGACCACCTTGCTGATAGTGAAATACCGAGTGTTGGTGGTCTACTGTCTGTCTGTTCTCGACATAGAACTTTGCACATATGTGCGGTAGTTCAAGTCGCCACACTCCCTTCTTGTAGCACACAAAGCAAGAGAAGAAGATAGAAGAAATGCATATTAGAGACAGTAAACAGAAGTGTGAGACAAAGGAATAGTAATAACGAAGAACAATATAGTTTCATTGGAAATTACAAGTCACAAGGAGTGGATGCATCTGCGTTGGCCATTGAGAACGGTTTTGAGCCATGTCACCAATAGTTTCCAACCATTGGATTTTACCGTCCCGACGACCCCAACCTGTCATGAAGTCTACACCTTCCTACGTGACTGGCTTAGACTAACTGTTGTGGATTTCATTGACTGGTTCCATGTTTTGGTTTGACCACCGCTAGCTCTTTTCCAGCCTGACACTATACCAGCTAACATTGCCTATCAGTCAAGGAAGGCGATGACTAGGCATCCGTAACACATGTCCTAACCATCTCAGTCGATGTAGCCTCACAGCCTCGTCGATTGATTTCCCCTCCTTACCTAGAACTTGACGCCTAACCTCAATATGGCTCACCTTATTATACCACTTCACACGGGAGATAGAGCGCAGGCACTTATGATCAAAGACAGCTAACATTTTCATGTCTTCCACTCCCAGTGGCCAGGTCTAACAGCCATAAAAGGGGATGGAGTTGACTGATGAGCAGTACACTCGTCCTTTGGTCGATATCCTGATATCACGTTAACGCCTGAGTCGGCGTAAACTGGCATATGCGAAACTAGCCCTCTGTATCCATGCTGAGATTTCGTCAGAGATCAACCCGTTGGGGCTGACTGTACTTCCCAAATAAGTGAAGCGGTCAACGTGCTCTACCACTTCACTCCCTATTTCTAAGCTTGGAGTCGGTGTAATCCAGTCTACACTTGAAATAAGCAGCTAGGTACCTCTAATCAAATAGTTTATTATATAGACTAGACTAGAGCTGGTGGTGGTGGTTTACAACAGCTGGGAATGATTACTTCTAAGAATGACTTTCAATAGAAACTGTAAATATTGGCTTATTGTTACAATACCTCATGCATCTTTTTGTGATATTCTGTCGTGTAATCAGTCTACCAGAAATCGGGTGTATGGATAATTAATGATGCAGTATCCACTTATTCTTAGCTATTTACTTGGTGGGAGGGGAGGGGAATACACAATGGTCTTAACTTAGCTTTACTACGGTTGGTGGAATAAGTTTTAATTTGTAGGTTTTTACTGTCTAAAAATGTCAGAAGACAGGACACTTTTGAAATAATAGAAAAGATTTGTAACTCAGGTGGATGATTTGGAATTGATAGTGTTCTCAGAGAACACTATCAATTCCAAAACAGGACACTTTTATTATTACATCCGGCACAGTACATAAATGCATAAACGTCTATTGCATTAGAACTTTCACAAATAATAAATGGAATGAAATATAAACTACTGGTTAACCAGGAGTTAAACTAAACACTAATCCCAGTTGTATAAAAGAGTGAGGTAATCTTTTGAATTCAGTCATCATCAATTTATTTATTTCAAGACTAACCTGAGCATTGCGTGTGTCAATAAGCACAAGGTGGCCTGTTCGCGTGGCAGCCACAAATGCACCGGACTGGAAAAGAAAGGAGAATATGAAAATATAGGCCAAATGACAATAAAAATATATTCTAAGTGGTAACGAAAAAATATTTCATATATATATATATATATATATATATATATATATATATATATATATATATATATATATAGTTCTTTATTTATTTAATATTCATAAAATTAATCAATCGTGAAGAGTGGAAGTGTCACCCACGGAAATTTCACCATCCAATCGTTGAAGATCCATTACTCTACGTGTGTCATTTCATATTTTATGCACCAATGTAGTTGTGAATACTTTTCAGTAATGGTATCAATAGTCTTCAAACATTGATTTTTAGCATTTTGAGGAGCCAAGTTAACCTACACTTATCTTTGTAGGTTAGACTGGCAGTTAATAGTGATATGAATAAGAGTCATGTATACGCCTGGCTAATTCTTTTCCAACCTGATTATATCCCAGTTAACACTACCCAATGAAGAAGATGGGTAACAAATGTTCTGGATCTCCACCGCCTCATCCGAACTGATAGATGCTAGAAGACTTATTCCGGCGAGCTCCGAATTCAATGAGGAGCGAAAGCTGCACAAGAGGAAACTTACGAAAAGTCTCCGCAAGGACCGTGAACAGTAGTGGGCGACAAAAGCCAAAGAGATGGAGAAAGCTTCGAGGATAGGCAACACCAGGCAACTCTTTGGACTCATCAGGGAAACGGGTGGGAGAAGACAAATCATCAGTGAGACAATCTCGGAAAAATATGGCACTATAATTAGCTCCCAGGATAGACGACTGGATCGTTGGAAAGAGCATTATGAGGAGCAGTTTAATTTGCTCACAGCCACGCTCAACCTTCCAAGCATCCAACACCTCCCTGAATGGGATATAAACACAGGTCCTCCGTCACTAACTGAGGTTACTAAAGCTGTCACCAATCTGAAACTAGGCAAAGCAGCGGGACCTGATGGAATGACTCCAGAGGTATTTAAGTACGGTGGAGACAGCTTACTGTCCGGATTAACTAAGGTACTAAGCAGCGTCTGGGAATCAGAAGAAGTCCCATCGGGTTGGTGTAAGTCACTGATTATTCCCATATACAAGAAGGGAGACAAGTCTTCCTGTGATAATCACAGAGGGATTAGCTTGACTAATATAGTATCTAAAGTCTTAGGCTCGATAATCATGCGTAGACTGAGTGGTGCTCGGGAAGCACAAACACGAGAGAGCCAGGCAGGCTTTAGACCAGGAAGAGGGTGTATTGATCATATCTTCACCCTCCGACAGATTCTAGAACATAGGAATTCCTACCGGTGTCCAACAGTCATTATATTTCTTGACCTAAAGGCAGCATTCGACTCTGTCGATCGGGAAGTTCTCTGGAGATGCTTGGCTGTAAAGGGAATTCCAAGAAAATATATTGCACTGATTAAGGCAATCTACTCGTACTCATACAGCCAGGTGAGGGCTTACGGCGAGCTGTCATCTGAACTGATGACGACCAGTGGTGTCCGTCAAGGATGCCCATTATCTCCTTTCCTATTCAACTTCATCATAGATGTGTTAATGGACTTAACCCTAGGTGACTTCAGTGACTCAGGAATTGACTTGCTACCGGGGAATAATCTCGTTGACTTGGAATATGCAGACGATATAGTCCTTCTAGGCGAAGACGCTGACGAAATGCAGAGTCTTCTAAACACCTTGAGCTGCATTCTACGAATGTTTGGCATGCGATTCGCTCCCGCCAAATGCAAGATGATGTTACAGGACTGGACTACACCGACTCCTAGATTAGAAATAGGAAGTGAAGTGGTAGAGCACGTTGACCGCTTCACTTATTTGGGAAGCACCATCAGCCCCAACGGGCTGATCTCTGACGAAATCTCAGCACGAATACAAGGGGCTCGTTTCGCATTTGTTAGTTTACGCCGACTCTGGCGTAGACGAGATGTTCGACTATTGACCAAAGGGCGGGTGTACTGCTCATCAGTCCGCTCCGTCCTCCTTTATGGTTGTGAGACCTGGTCACTGAGAGTGGAAGACATGAAAAGACTAGCTGTCTTTGATCATAGGTGCCTGCGTTCTATTTCCCGTGTAAAGTGGCATAATAAGGTGAGCAACATGGAGGTTAGGCGTAGAGTTCTAGGTAAACAGGGGAAATCAATCGACGAAGTCGTGAAGCTACATCGACTGAGATGGTTAGGACATGTGTTACGTATGCCAAGTCATCGCCTCCCTCGACGAGCAATGTTGGCGGATATAGGGTCAGGCTGGAAAAAAGCTAGCGGCGGTCAAACAAAAACTTGGCATCAGTCAATGAAATCCACAACAGTTGGTCTAAGCCACGTAGGAAGGTGTAGACTTCCAGGCTGGGGTCCTCGGGACGGTAAAAATCTATGGTTGGAAACAATTGGTGACATGGCTCAAAACCGCTCTCAGTGGCGCAGATGCATCCACTCCCTGTGACTTATGATCTTCAATGAAACTGTTCTGTATTTATTTATTACTCCTTTGTCTCACACCTCTGCTCACTGTTTCTATTATGCTTTTCTTGTACTTTCTTCTCTTGCTTCGCGTGCTACACGGAATGTGGCGACTTGAACTTCCGCACATTTCTGCAAAGTTCTATGTCGAAAACAGACAGACAGCTTAGCTACCTCAACCAGTGAAGTTTTACAAACTCATCGATTGGTTTTAACATTCTTTACCAAACAGTTTGAGGTTAAATTTATTATTGTTTAGCATGTTGCTCCACTCATTTTGAGTAACTGAGTGAAGACATTTATGGTTAGAAATTTGTGACTTTTTAAGATAACTTTTATTTTTTCGGCCGTGTCCCAAAGTAACCTACTGAGAAGTACATACGTTTCTTGGCAGGCAGTTCAATACCACAGCTACCTATCCACCTGCTGATACCAACCAGTGCTAACTATTCATCACCAGTTCATTAGGGCCGAATAAACTCCCCAAACAGGTAAAGTGGTGATATGTACCCACATGATGTGTGTTTTGTTTTTGACAGTCTATTATATTTTGCTATGTGTATATGGATCGATATTCCATTATAACTGACATTATGCTTTTGTCTGTCCACTAACTAAATAAACAGTGTATGACCTTATTATCAGATGACATTACAACCAATCATGGTAAGACGTCATCTTATTGGTTCATGTGTATTAGCCATTTTCATATATACTCTTGCTTTATTATTCTTGTTCATACTTGTTCTCACGTTTTCGTACACTACGTACCATTTCACTCACACACTTGTGTGACATTTATAATCCTTGTCTGGAAAATACAAGTATCATCGTAAACCTGGTGGTCTTCTGATTTCCCTCATTTGATGTGGTTTTGTTCTCTGAGCTGGATGGTTAATTTGCGAAACTTTCATCACCCTACTGGGTGACATCTTCAGCGCATACTTCAATTTGAAGCTTTTCCCTCTTTCCGCGTCAGGACTATTAACTACTCGACGAGTACATAACATAATTGGCGACGGGGAAAACTCTAATAACTCACTCAGCAGCAGTACATAACAAGTGGTAAGCACATTCGACCGTTACACTTTGTAATCAATGCAGACCACTCCTGTAGCATAATCTTATACTCGATGCGAGCGTGTTTCACATCGAATATATTCATTTTCTCCTCAGAGTGCTCACGAGACTACGCATTGGCGTTTCTACCCAGAAGGATTATATCTAGTCTGAATCCAAAACATATTTCTGTGGTGTGAAGTCAACTCAATTATTATTTATTATTATTGTATCCTTTAGTTCCTAGAGGAACATAGGGCTTCAGCTGCGCACCTCCATTGACTTCGGTTTTCTGACAACTTTTTCACCCTGCTCCAGGTCTGTCCACATGCTTTCATCTCCTCCTCGCATGACCTCCTCCAAGTCACCCTTGGACGACCAACTCGCCGCCTCCCTTTCGGGTTCCACTCGAGGGCTTGTCTAGTGATGTCACTTGATGGTTTCCTCAGCGTATGGCCAATCCATCTCCATTTCTTTCTGCCTATTTGTTTCACAATCGGTTCCTGATTGGTTCGCTCCCAGAGATCCCTGTTGCTGATCTTTTCTGGCCATCTGATCTTGAGTATTGAGCGGAGACAGTTGTTAATGAAGGTTTGAAGTTTGTTTGAGATGCTCTTTATGACTCGCCAAGTCTCTGATCCGTATAGTAGCACTGACTTCACATTGGAGTTGAAAATCCGGATCTTATTTTTGATGCTGAGTGCTGTTGACCTCCACACAGATTTGAGAGTAATGAAAGCTTGTCTTGCTTTTCCGATTCTGGCTTTGATGTCCTCGTCAGTTCCGCCTGTAGTTGAGACGATGCTTCCCAGGTAGGTGAAGGAGGTTGTTTCTTTCAGGTTCTTCCCATTTATGCTTATTGTGGTCTGTTGGTGTTGTTGATGTTGGCTAGGAATCTTCATTATCTCTGTTTTATCTATGTTCACGTGAAGTCCTATCTTTGATGCTTCTTCTGCCAACTTGTTACTTTTCACTTGCATATCTTCCAGTTTATGGGAAATCAGACATATATCATCGGCGAAATCCAGATCCTCCAAGTCTTTTGTGTCAGTCCATTTTATGCCTGTTCCCTCGTTGGTTGCCGTTGTCTGTCGCATTATCCAATCAATTGCAATCAGGAAGATCATTGGTGATAGTAGACAGCCTTGCCTCACTCCCGTCCTCACTTCGAAGGCTTCCGTAAGTTTCCCGTTGTGGATTACTTGGCATGCAGCATTGTCGTATAACTGTTGGATGAGGTGTATAATTGTCGATGGGACCCCGTAGTAGCGAAGTAGTTTCCAAATGACCTCTCGATCGACGCTGTCGAAGGCCTTTTCAAAGTCGATGAAGTTGAGATAGAGAGGTGACTGCCATTCCAAGCTTTGTTCAATGATGATCCGTAGAGTGGCGATTTGATCAATACATGATTTGTTTCTCCTGAATCCAGCCTGTTCCGGACGAAGTTTTTCATCTAGGGCTTGTTTGATTCTCTCCAGGATGATGCGACTTAGTATCTTGCTTGGAATGGACAGAAGCATAATTCCACGCCAGTTTTTACATTGACTTAAGTCTCCTTTCTTTGGAAGTTTGAATAAGTAACTGTTCTTCCAATCCTCGGGTACTTTGCCCTCTTTCCACACCTTCTCCAGCAGTGGTGTCATCAAGTCCGCTGTTGTCTCTGGGTCTATTTTCAAAGCCTCTGCTGGGATTCCATCTGGTCCCGGTGTTTTCCCAGCTTTAAGCATCTTGATTGCATTCAGGACTTCTGATTTCGTCGGGGGGTCAGTGTTCACTGGTAGTTCTGCTTCCGTTGTTGGTATTGCTGGACGTGTTGTAGGTGGCGGACGATTTAGAAGTCTTTTGAAGTGTTCAACCCAGTGCTTTCTCTGTTCCACCTCTTTGGTGATTGACTTTCCATTGTCGTCCTTTATTGGCTTAATCTGTGTCGAACGTTTGCCCGAAAGGTTCCTAGTTGTTTGGTAGAGTGTGGCGAGGTCTCCTTTGCCTGCAGCTTGTTCTGCTTCGTTTGCCATGGTTTCATAATATTTTCTTTTGTCTTCCCTGGCACTTTTCTTCACTCTTTTGTTCAGTGTATTGTAGCTTGCATTCAGCTCCTGTTTTTGTTGCTCGTCAGTGCACTGGATAATCTTTTGCTTCACTGTCCTTCTCTCTTCTATTAGTTTCCAAGTGTCCGTAGTGAGCCACTGTTTGTCCTGTCTCTTTTTTCTGCCTAGAATTTCTATGCAGGTTTGGCTCCACACCGTTTTCAAGTTGTTCCAGTGCTTTTCGACGCTGACCTTTTCGCTGGTGTTGATTTGTGTCTCAGCTTTGTCCTTTATGCTTGCAATGAAGATGTCCTTTGTAGCCTGGTCCTTCAGCTTTTGAGTGTTGAACTTGGCTTGTGGTCTATCTGCAGCTCCTGATTCCCTGAAAGCTTTTAATTTGATTTGGATTGTCCCTTGTACGAGATAGTGGTCTGAGCCAACGTCTGCTCCTCTTCTTGCTTTTGTGTCCAGTAGGCTGCGCCTCCACTTCCTTGAGATTGAGATGAAGTCGATTTGGTTTTTGGTTTGCCCGTCTGGTGACACCCATGTAGCCTTGTGGATATCTTTGTGCTTGTATACACTGCCACCAATCAACTCAAAGAAAACGTCAAAATCAACTAGTCAAGTTAATTACTACGCATACAGTGAGATTAAATAAAAGCGCTAACAGTAGGCATTCCCAACGGACACCACTGATTGTCGTCACTCTAGACTACTGAAACGACAGCTATAACATCACTACATAAGCTCGAGTAGTGTTATGATTAGTCGTATTTTCCGAAAACATAAACTGTAAAAGAATGTTCTTACTCAAGGGAACTTACCACATGAATATGTTCCAGTTGAATAGCTTGATCCCCATACAGTCCACCGATAGGTGCTGGTAGTACGGTATCTACATGCACATAGTTCCGAGTTAATCGAGGCCACAGGCGCAAATTGCCACCACAAGAGCTAAGTGCCAAACAGCTTGTAGGCAAAGGTGAAACCTCTGCATCATTCGACGGGAAAAGTAAGCCAACTAGGGAGGCACTATGTGGTAGATCACTGACAGGCAGATCAAAACTTACACATGAAGAGTGAGGCTAGTAGAAGACAAAAGGCAAAAATTACTAGGGTAAGTCAAATGACCTTCATAAGAGCGGCAAAGCATTTATATAAACGACTTCCACGAAAGGAACACTAAAGAAAAACGTACTTGTGTATTTACAGATCTTGAATATTTCCATAAAAACAATTTGTTCCCTGCAACAACGATCAACCATTCTCCAGCGAAAAATCGTGCACTTGAAGCTACAGGTTATAATAAAGTCAATGGGGAAAGTGAAACTTACAGCTGGAAGCACGAAGAGCTTTAGATGGAAAAACTGGAAGATTTTCTGATATTCTTGATACTTGTAACATCCTAGAAGGATGCATCTCCACATTGACGCAGGAGTGGAGAAGGGTTGAACCGGGGCGTTTGTCCCCATACATGATTAAACTGTAACAAAAACTTTGAGTAAACTAGACACCAAAATCTCTACGATATGTGATCTTATGACTACCACATAACATTAGCAATAAAATATTGTGTGTAGTTTAATTTTTAACACAGATGATATATATATATATATATATATATATATATATATATATATATATAAACATCCCCGAAAGAGATGGAACAGATTTTTATTGGCAGATCCTAGACAACTTGTGTTGAGTAAGGAGTTGTAGACACCATAGAGGTTGTGGCGTATATGTTTATTGTTAAAGGTATTACTAATCTTGTATACTGTGATTACCTACTGGGTATTAAACTAAGTGGAGAAATTCTCTTGATGAAAAATCTGTAAGTGGAATCTTCCCACTTAGAGGGAGCTACTAACACTTCACTGACTTATTGGGAACTACCGTATCGGATGCCACTAGGCCTTTAAAACATCAACACCACGATATTAACAACACGCCATTTTGAAGAGCACTGCATTATTGTTCAGAAACGGTTAAGAGAGTAGTTTAAGAGAGAAAACAATAAGTTCAGTAGAACACATTTTTGGGCAGTTCCCCGGGGTATGCCATAACCAAAAACAAGACAAAAGTATTCCTTGCATCCAATTTACTGCAGAACACAATCAGAGGAAGTAATTTCCTAGTAAATACCCAGTCGGTTACTTTTTTTTTCGACCTGGGATATGTGGGTAAAAACGTGGGCAGTTTTCCGTTGAAATGTGGGAAAAGTGGGATAAAGTGGGCTGTAACATGGGTAAAGTGGGAAAACGGGGTAAAAGTGTTGAATTGTTCGTTGAAAACGTGGGAAAACTGGGTAAAAGTGGGTACATTTGTTATTCCGGCACATGGGATAAGTGGGTAAAAACGTGGGTCAAGTGGGAAAACTGGGAAAAAGTGGGACAAAACATTTTTCACTGACATGGGAAAACGGGGAAAAAGTGGGAAATGTGGCCAAAGTGGGTAAAATCGGTTGCATTTACACCATCTTTTGCCCACGTGTTTGCCGATCTAAATTACCCTTTTTTCCCACGTTTGCCCACGTTTGCCCATGTGAATTAACCGACTGGGTAGTGACCTCAGAATTCCAGATTTTCGATAATGGACAATAAACCATAATGGCAGTTACCAGTGGCAGCAAATTCCTACGAGGAATCTCGTTTCTCCCCAGGAGCATCTACTTTGTTAGGACCATTTGTTCATTTCAAATCACTTATTAGCATGGGCCTCCTAGGTACACTCATAAAATCCCTATAGGTGATACATAACTAGCAAAGAACAAGAAATTCCACACTGTTACGCCTCTCCATATGGAGTAGACATCAATTTCACCTAAAGTCACGTGGCGATTAAGTCAGTAAGTCGTTTCTACGATTCCCACCTCACCTTCAGGCGAATCAAGGTCAGCCAAACAATTTTATTCCAGCGCCTTCGACAAAGCCTAATCCAATATCCAATGTCGTCTTTCTACGAGCTAGTGTACACCAATTTGATTTCTTTGTGCTCGCATCTAGGTTGTGAGGTGAAGGTTCCTGGTCTTCGGTAAACTTCTGCGTAGGTCCCCCCACCATTCGACTGTCGTAGCTTTTTTGACTCCGAAAGGAGTGGTGCCGGGATTAATTATATGTGGTTTGTGGTATGCGGTATGCTAAGACCGTGTTGCTACTGTGAATGGATTTGATCCTTTCACCCGGTAGTCATCCGGCATCATCGACAAAGAGGGATATAACAATAATAATAGACAAAATAATTAGTGCAGTCTATGTGGATATAAGAAAAAACACAGGAAGAGACAGCTAATGAAATTTGAAATTGATATATATATATATGATAGAGAAGATTTGTAGCTCAGTTGGATGATTTTGATGGGGTTTCGTTCTCTGAGCTGGATGGTTAATTTGCGAAGCTTTCATCACCCTACTACGCGACATCATTAGCGCATACTTCAATTTGAAGTGGGCTTTTAGATTTCTCCACGAGTTTATTAATCATCTCTCCTGGTGACTTTGGACGTGATTGGTTGTTAATGTGTGTTTTCACATCTTCTAGGTTACTTGTATTGGAACTGACTGTCTCTTTGACTTGAACTTTGACCCTTTGTGTGTGAAGTTTCTTTCTTATTGGTTGATGAATCGAGATAGACAAAATTTATCAACCAATAAGAAAGAAACTTCACACACAAAGGGTCAAAGTTCAAGTCAAAGAAACAGTCAGTTCCAATACAAGTAACCTAGAAGATGTGAAAACACACATAAACAACCAATCACGTCCAAATTCACTAGGAGAGATGATTAATAAACTCGTGGAGAAATCTAAAAGCTCACTTCAAATTGAAGTATGCGCTGAAGATGTCACCCAGTAAGGTGATGAAAGCTTCGCAAATTAACCATCCAGCTCAGAGAACAAAACCACATCAAAAAAATTGATATATGTATATAGTACATATATGTATGTCCATAATAATAATAATAATAATAATAATAGAGTGAGAGACGCAATTTTTGAAGTGGTCAGAATCAAGCCTTCCGCTTTGCTTGCAGATCATGTTGAGTACCTCTCTTCAGCAATGAGGACCTTTTCTTTGGGCTATGTCGTGACTAGAGTGACGGTATCTGAAATCGCTTTGTGAATAATCTCCTTTACCACTTCCTACCGTTCGCCCGCGGATAACTCGGCCCATTCTATGGCCATTCTACGTCGGAAAAGGCCTCCACGTTCTCAAATAGCCAGCCTTGCTAAAGCACAGACACGGTCGTGTAGCGTCCCACTGTAAGCGCTCACGGAGAACAAGATTAAACGCCACGTCTGCGAGAGCACTACTATTAGGACATTTTTGACTAGTAACCGTTAATTAGTTAGAATAATAATAAGTTTCGATGACTTTCCACAAGGTTCCCACCCATTGTCACCTCCAACATTCTCAGACAGTCCTGCATTTCTAGAGGTTCATCTTTGGCTTCAAGATAAATAATTCCTGCATCATAGCATAATAGTCTTAATAGTCCATCAATGTTCTTTATAAATTTAAGAATATCTTCTCGAAGTGGAAATATATTTAGTCCTAAGCTGTAACTCGTGAAAGCTATGTTTGGACCTTCAGTACCTACTGATCAATCTCAACGTGGCTTTGAAAATCATCTTTCCGAATCTTAATGTTAACAGACCTATTTTCACCTCCTATTCATCCTGAATTTGAATTGTGGGTGTCTTGATAATTATTGTATCCCTTTTCAGCTGCCCATCAAATGATTCTGTTCACAGACACATCTACCTTTCACGAGAAAGTATTGAGGTTGTATCTACTCTGTAGATCATTTTGCTGATCGTGGCTTTTCTAGGGTTTTTATTATTGACAGACGTACAGGGTTGTTTGAATGGAATAGTAGTGTTTGAAGTATGCTTGTTTGTAGTATCCTTCAACCAACCTGAACTAAAACTTTGTCCGACGAGAATCATTTAGCAAGATTAAGTGGGTCAAATGTACATTTCGGAACTTAGTCCTCTCAGCCGGCTAGAGTCTATGGGGGAAAAACCGAAATTTCCTTGGCGGATTGCTTACTGACTCATGCGCGCAAAGGAAAGTTTTCAGTATAATGGCCCCAATGCAAAACGTAGTTGCCACCTGAGGTCGTTTGCATCCTTGGACCAACTCTGAATACGTTCAGAAAGCACTTTATTTTTTTATTTTGATTACAGCTTGATGCTACACTGTATTTTTGGTACAAGTATGGAATTTTCAGCATGGATATAGGTAGCCCAAATTTTGCAGGCCGACCATAGATATCAGATGTGTGTCTGCAGGGGGTCTAACCCCGGACGATGTCCTGACAAGCTGCGCCACCGACGCACAGAAGATCATTTCAGACACGAATGCTCACCTACAGCCTAAAACCACCTAAGTATGCCGTCACTACAATGTTGCTACTGAACCATGTGAAACGAAATCCGACAGTGACACTAGATGATGTCTTTGCCGAGTATCAACGACTGATAAACCTCCAACGGTTCATCGCCCCGGTTATAAGGCTACACCAAGAGATTTTCAAGGAAGTGTCTGCCATCATCCTACAAGTATTGTGAGGCTCTGCATCTCGTCGTCCGTTAAATAACACCCATGCCAAGACTGCAATATTTGCTAATCACTAGATAGAGACAGACCTTGAGGCAGCATACCACTCAGTATGGCCTGACGTCTGTCATGATTATCCAGTAACTGTTGGCCATCCCAGTTTAAGCTCCCACCAGCTTAGGCAGACTTAGTATGACTGATTTATTTTATCTTCCATGTAAGTATGATTCATTGACCACTTTATCCTACATACCAATACCCCTTAGTACATTTTTGTCTTTCATGCCGTCTACTTCTGATTCAGTTGGTATACTTCCCAATGATAAGTTTTCCAGAATTGTACCTAAGATTTTAGAGCAATCTACACGAGAGATTAACAAGTCTGATGAAACTCTTATAAATGATTCGAGTTTTATGAAGAATTTCGATCGCTCAACAGATAAATAGAGTTGCTAGATATCGCTCTAAATTCAGTTAGTTGATTCAGTGGTGTGAGAGGCAAGCAGTAGATATTATCAAACAGCTTGTTCTATTCGAACTGGAGGTAAGATATCATAGAGCCTTAGAGTTTTCATCGTGCAGGACCACTATGACACGGTATTCTATGGCTTCTCAGATGATGTGAGTAGTTAAGGAATTCAGAAGGATGGAACGAGCAACTAAGTAGGAGCACTATCTTCTATATGACTTATGAGGCTTTCTTTACCTATTGAATGATGAAAGCCCTTCCGTTTGTTTAACTAGGTGTTCTCCACTTCACTCAGCCTCTGAAGTACTTTGAAGTCTACAGTGGTTTGTTGTACTGTGTTCACAAGCCTTCTGCGTAGTTCGGGAGCCACAAATTTCTCCATCCCCTTCATTTGATTTTTATCTCATGGTGAACTGTGGTACTAAATAAGAATGATGTATTTCGTGT